TGTGGAGTGTGTGTTCACTGTGTCACTTGCTTTTCGCCATTCTTTATTCCATTCAGAATAGTAATATTGCCATAAAGAATAATGATGATGACACTTTTCTTTTTTCAGGAATGGTTGTCAGGGATCAAGCCCTATGCCTTATGTGTCCCAGACAAGCTCTGCTATTGAGTTACACCCAGAATGATTTTTTTTATTTTTGGTAGAATCTCACTGTGTAGATCTAGCTGTCCTGGAGCTCACTATGCAGATTAGACTGGCCTTGAACTCACAGAGATCCACTTGCCTCTGCCTCCAGAATGCTGAAGTAAAGTCTTATGCCACCATGCCCATCTTCTGAATGATTAAAAACAATCTCTTTAGAACAACTTATACTTGGATATGTCTGCCATATTGATTCTTAGGTAAACTATTTCTTATTTTTGCGTCTTTAATCTTTTTTAGATCCTTTATCAAAAAGGTGAAAATTGATGAAATACTTTGCAAACAATTTTATTCCCTCTTTGATGCTGGGTTATATTTTTTTTGCAGATTTTTTTATCTGAATTAGAAACAAGATTGTTTTACATGACAATCCCAGTTCCCTTCTCCCTCCTGGCCTCCCCTGCCCTCCCCACCACTAAAACCCTACCTATTACATATCCTTTCTGCTCCCCCTGGATGGTGAGGCCTTCCATAGGGTGTCATCAGGGCCTAGGCCTATCCCCATGTGCCTTGACTCAGGGAGTATCCCTCTATGTGGAATGGGCTCCCAAAGTCCATACCTATGCTAGGGATAAGTACTGAACTACTACAGGAGGTTCTGTAGATTTCAGAGGTTTCCTCATTGAAACCCATGTTCCTGGGGTCTGGATCAGTCCCATGCTGGTATCCAGATGCTGGGTTATATTTTTGAAGTAACAAAGTTTCCTCAAAGATTTTCAAGATCCCATTTTTCTTATATGTATATCAGAAAGAAAGTAGAGTTAAAAAGTACTGCACGTTGGCCTATTCTTGGCAAATGGTTAACTTTAGTACATTCATTTTTCTAAGTAGACTGCTTTATGGACCATCACAAAATCTGGCATTTTAGAAAGATATTGAAAACCTAATTCTTATACAGTGTAAAGAGTGTTTGCAGTAGGTGAGCACTCATTGGATTATGAGGATCCATTCTGCAGCCCTGTTCCCTTGGGTCCTTAGGCTGACTTTGCTTTCCTTGGTCCAGGGTTGAAAAGGTGGCAAGTGCCAGTTAACAGCCCCAGGGAGCAGCAAATAGTGTGTGGCTGCCATTGTGGCAGTTAGTTCCCCAAGCAGCTCTTTGGGCTAACTTCTCTACATTTATTGATTAACAGATATATTATCTACTAACTCTGTTTATCTAATTCATTTTATCTAACATTTATCTACCTACCTACCTACCATGCGGTTATCTATATATTATCTATTCATCAATAATATGTTATCTACCTATCATCTATTTCTATTATCTATCTACTTTTAAACTGTTTTCTATGTTTATATCTATCATTTGTCACATCTGTCTGTCTATCTATTTATCTATCTAAATATCTATCTACTTATCTCTCTATCTAAATCATCCATCTATGTCCCAGCACTCAGGAGGCAAAGACAGAATGGTCACAGCACTTTATCACTTATCTTAAAAATTACATGTTTGATGATTTTTGCTTTTTTTAAGATAGGGTTTCTCTTTGTAGCTTTATAGACCAGGTTGGCCTCAAACTCACAGAAATCTGATTTCCTCTGCCTCTGGAGTGCTGGGATTAAAGGTGTGTACTACCACCACCCAGGGTTTTTGTTTGTTTGTTTGTTTTTTGGAGGGATACCTTGGGGGAGGGCCTTGGTCCTGCCTCAAAGACATGTGCCAGATTTCATTGTCTACCCCACTTACTCTCTCTGAAGAGTGAATGGGGTGGGGTGGAGGGAAGGTGGGGAGAGTGGGAGGAGGGGAGGGAGTGGGAACTGGGATTGGTATGTAAAATCAGAAAAGATTACATAAAAATGTTAAAATTACATGTCTATTAGATCTATGCTAGATAATATGCAGAGACTTTGTTTGAAGGCATACTGATACCTTTGATGGCAGCCTGATGGCTAGGGAATGGGAGTGAGGGGACAGTTCCTTCTACCATGTGTTTCTTTGGGTACTTAAGACATACACATTACATGGTAAGCACTTAAAAACATCAGCATCACTACAAATATTAATTTAAGGCAAATAACCCATGGGAATAGAATTGGAAAAGTTGTTCCATTAAAGTTTAAAGATTTATTCTAAGTCAGAGTAGCTTTTAATCAAATCCCAATCATCATTTATTGTACAACTAGCAGCCATTCATGAGCACCATTTCAGCAACTGGAGAATCAAAGAATTCTTCTTCAGACACCAACCATTTCTTAAAGGAAATTCTGCTATGCATTATTCCAGTCTAACTATTTAACCAGCAGAGAGTAGAGTCAATAGCAAGCTGCTCATAGGCTCCTCACTAACAATGTTGCTGGTGCTGCTCCTCCTCCCTCCCTTTCTCCCCCTCTTCCTGCTCCTCCCCTTGCATCTTTAACCATTTCCCTCCCTGTCCTTTTCTTCCCCTCCTCCTTTTTATTCCATTTCCTCCTTCTCTCCCTTCCTTCTTCTTCCCCTTTTCTCCCTCTCCTCCTTCTCCCTCCTTCATCCTCTTCCATCTTTTCCTTCCTCCTCCTCCTCCTCCTCCTCCTCCTCCTCCTCCTCCTCTCTCACCACCTGCCCCTTTGTTCCCCATGGCTTCCCACAGAGTCTCATGGTATAGCCCAGGTTAGCTGGTGCCCACAATCTTTTTGCTTCAGCCTCCTGAGTGCTGGTGTTACAGGACGACATTCAATTATGTATCTTCTTAAATATGACTTTGGACAAATTAAACAAGCTCCAGTTTCTTCATGTAGTAATGTCTATAGTAGTGATACTTGAGTTATTTTGATGATGAAAAGAAATGCAGTGCATGAAAATTAGCTCAGTACTTCCTGTGAAGTAAAGTGCACTGGGTGACAGCTGCTTTTATGAAAAACTGCTGCCCTCTGCTTCTACATTTTTCCCCCAATATGGGTATTATTAGTTTTTGTCAACTTGATGTAAACTAAAGTCATTTGGGAAGGGGGTACCTTATTTGAAGAGATGTCTCCATCAGAGTGGAGTGTAGGCAAGTGTGTAGGGCATTTTCTTGATTAATGATTGATTTGGGAGAGCACAGCATACTGTGTTTGGTGCCAACCCTGAGAAAGGTGGTCCTGGATAGTATAAAAAAGCAAGCTGAACAAGCTGACAAGTAGCATTTCTTCATGATCTCTGCTTCAGTTTATGCCTCCAGGTTCCTGCCCTAACTTCCCGCAGCGATGGACTGTGATGGGGAAATGTAAGCCAAATAGACCCTTTCTTTCCCAAGTTGCTTTTGGTCATGGTGTTTCTAATACCAAAAGAAAGCACATTAGTATAACAAGGGGACCTCACCCCCAAACCATAAGTGCTGTCATTGGTACTATAGCAGCACAGCCTGAGGAGAAAGGCAAATGATGGGGCATAGTGCAATTAAGCATTGAAGAGGAAGTATAATTTCATTTGGAAATGGGGAAGACATTTTAGGCAGAAGAATGAAGTGAGAAAAGGCACAAGTGGATACAAAGTATACCTTAGGGACAGCAGCAAGCTAGTTGGGTGAAAGCACACAGCATAGGGGGGAAAGAGCTTTGCCGGGATTTAAGGGCTGATGACAGAAGAGCCTGGTCCTAGACCATGATTCAGAGTTGGGTTCTCAGTAGTACAGATGGAAACAAGATAGTGGAATATTGAAGAGAAGACAGGGCTGGAGTTGGTGTTACATGAAGTGTGTGTGGGGGGGAGAGGTAGAGAGTTGGAAATGCACTGGAGAAGGGTGTAGGGCCAAGGGAAAAACCCAGAAGACTCCAGATGGAGAGTCTCAGCATTAGTGGAGCAAGCAGAGACAGCTGGGGACAAAATTAAGATGGAGCATGGTCTTTTAAGGGGACAAAGATCTTCTGAGGTGGATGGCAAAGGAGAATGGGTTGGAGATGTGGGAGAGCTGCGTGTGGAGGAAAGGGAAGCAAAGGCCTTATGTCTATTGACTTCTATTTCTTGAAGTTAGAACAAAGTGACCTCTCTCTCTCTCTCTCTCTCTCTCTCTCTCTCTCTCTCTCTGTGTGTGTGTGTGTGTGTGTGTGTGTATCATGGTAGGTAAGTAAGGCCTTGGTATATCCATTATAAAGATAAGTCACTGTCTTGGTAAGAGTGAGTGAAAGGTTGGCAGAGCATTTCTGAGGTCCAGGCTGGTGATAAAAGCTCTTTCTCATGTGTTTTCCACAGGGATGTGTGATTTTAACTGCATCCTAGACTCCAGATGCAAAAGGAGATGGGGAGGGCAGGGGATGTAGGTCAGTAGAGAGCTTGCCTACTTCCATTCATAAGGCTCTGGGTTTGGTCTTCAGTACTACATAAACTGGGCATGATGAGTCACTTATGCCTATAATCCCAGCATTTGGAGGCATTGAAATGGTCCATGTGAGGTAATTAGTGACAACTCTGCTGATTAAGACAATTAAAAGTTTTTAGTCCTTCCATTGATGGCCAGACTAAGAATGGCCTTGTGCCTCTGAAAAGTCTCTTGGTGTCCAAGCTCAGGGATACAGAGTTTTTAAAGGCAAAACCTATAAAGACCATGATTTATATCAAAGTTAGATTAGAATCAGAATAGCCTGAAAACTTTCATTCCTGGTAAAGTGTAGTAATTATTTTAGATATTACATGCCAATTATTTTTGCACTTTTTCCTAGTTATTTTAGTTAATATATCTGGACCACAGTCAAGGCCATGAAAATCTCAAATGTGTTGCCAAGGCAGTCCTGAGCATTGTGCAGAGCACTTTGTGTCTAAGCAAACACAAAATGGAATCAGAACAAGGTGGCCTTACCTTAGTTATTTCAGCATAACAAATACCATCCCATTTCTCCATTAGGAAATTAGTGACTTTCTTCCCTTCGCTTTGCTTTTCAAGGTGAAGCCAGTCATCCACAGCAGGATCAATGTGTCTGCCCGCTTCAGGAAATCACTGCACGAGCCTTGCACCATTTTGTAAGTTGGAGCCATTCATATTTCAAGGTAGCATTAATTGGCTGTGTACTGTCCTTGGGGTTTGGAATTTGAATGTTATGAGCATAACTGTTTCTGATGTGTTGCCTATATTTCCTTTTTCTCCACAGCCTGATTGCAAATGGAGATCTTATAAGCCCAGCTTCTCGACTCCTCATCCCTAAAAAAGCTTTAAATCAGTGGGATCAGATACTACAAATGGTCACAGAAAAAATAACTCTTCGGAGTGGAGCTGTCCACAGGTGCGTCATAGCGTCTTCCCCCCAAAGGAATCCTTGACGATGTTCCCACGTGCAGACTGAAATTTTTGTCCTGCCCAGTCTCGCAGCCATTTAATCCCAAATAAACACATAGAGGCTTATATTAATTATAAACTGGCCTATTACTCAAGCTTCTTATTGGCTAGCTCTCTCTTAATTATTAACCCATAACTATTACTCTGTGTATCTCCTCGTGGTCTTGGCTTACCAGAAAATGCCCAGGAATCCTACCTTCCTGGTAGCTACAACAGGCTTCTGGCTCATGACTCATTCTCTGCATGCATTTCTCTTGCCAGAATTTTCCTAGTCTGGTAGCCCCACCTATGCTTTCTGTGTGGATACATCTTGCCTGTCCATTGGCTGAAACAGCTTTATTCATCAACCAATAAGAGAAACATGTATCCACAGCATACAGAAGGACATCCACCATCACCTTTGGGCTCTGGAGTCACTGACCTTAGAGTTGAAGTTTGGCTGACCCTGTTAAGCTTAACGTGCCTCAGTTTCTTTATATGAAGACTCTGATATGTAATGGCACTTCAGTGGGGGTTGTTTCAAACAGATTTGGTGTGCTGGAACACATCAAGGGACTTTACCTGGTTTTGCTATTTTAGTGTAGAGAAATAATCAAGCATCATTCCATGTTAAGGGAGAGGAACTTCTTGATGCTTAGTTGACTGTTCTTTCTCCCAGGGAGGCAAGACTATTTATTCAGTGGTTTGAACTGTTGGCCTCAGGCAAAAATGTCGGATGGTAGGAAGAGTAGATGGATTTAAGGAGGAGAGACAGGTGAGGGAGATTAAGTGAGCTGATCTAAAATTAAAACCAAAAGCATTTTTTTTTTAGTGAAATTTAACCAAACATTTAAAGCATGGTATAGCCAATGAAATCATCTCTTAATTATGAATTTACTTATTTATATGTGTGTGGGGGGTAGGGGAACATGTGCTACAGTGTACATATGGAGGCCAGAGGACAAATTTTGGAAGTCATTTCTCTCCTTCCATTATGTGTGTCTTGGGGTTCAAACTCAGGTTGACAGGCTTTTGGCAAGCCCTTTACTCTGGCCCTGACAATTATCTCTGTATGGAGGCTAACTTATGTCTTTTCTTTCATAAGAAAGAAAATGGAGGATTACAAATAACATGTAGATGTACAGAACACATTAAGAGTGTATATGTAGTGCATGTGCATGGACACATACATACACATACGTCTCCAGATCCAAGCAGTTTCCTCAGTACCTTTCTCCTCCTCATCCTTCCTCATGCATCATGGACACATTCTTGCCTGTTTGCTACATACATGCCACACTTGAAGTCACACACACACACACATGCACACACCAAAGCATAGCCACTGCCTAGAGTAAATTACCAAATGAACGCACATCATGTCCTTCAGTTGAATGTATGTTTACCTATATTACTTATAGTTTTATCATCACTGAAAATTTAAGTGTAACCTGTTTTAATTGAAAGTAATGCTTAGTGTACGGCAAACATTCAAGTAGTACAGAAAGTGTAAATTAAAAGTATTTCTACCACCTCAGATCCACTATTCCTTTCCTGAGTAGCTTTTGTACCCTAGAAATCAGAACAAGACATATTTTGTGCATGTATAAGCATATACACTGTTAGTTTCCCCCTTCTCTCCCTTTCTTCCTCCTTTCCTATTTCCTTCCTTTTCTCCCCCCTTTCTTTTGTGTGTGTGTGTGTGTGTGTGTGTGTGTGTGTGTGTGTGTGTGTGTGTGTGTGTGTGTCCGTGCGCGCACACATGCACAATTGGGGGTCAGAGAAGGATGTTTTGCATCCTGCTTTATCACCCTCCTCTTCACTCCTTGAGAGTCTTTCTTTGAACCTAGAGCTAGGCTAGCTGCCAGCAAGCCCTCACAATCCTCCTGTCTCTGCCCCCATCCCTCAGTGTTAGGGTTATAGGCACACATAAGATGTACTCAGTGGGCAGTGTGTTGGTGGTGCACGCCTTTAATCCCAGCACTTGGGAGGCAGAGGCAGGCAGATCTCTATGAGTTCGAGGCCAGCCTGGTTTACAGAGCGAGTTCCAGGATAGGCTCCAAAGCAATACAATGAAACCGTGTCTCGAAAAACAAAACAAAACAAACAAGATGTACTCAGCAGGCAGAGACAGGAGGCCTCTGAGCTTGCTGGATGTTAGCCATCTTAGCTCCAGATTAATAAGAGACAGTGTCTCAAAGACCTAAAATGGAGAATAATAGACCACACAACTCCCCCTGGCCTTTTCTTCAAGTGTGTATATGGCAAGTATACTACTTCACATGCTTGTAACATGACACACATATATTGCTCTCATGTACAAGTGGGTTTCATTATTTCTTGTATTTTGTTTATTTGATATGTAGTACTGTCTGTTGATTTCCCCTTCCATTCTATGTATTTTTATAATCATTTTACATTTTAAATGAATTAACTCAGCATTCTGTGAATTAAGAAGTAGTATTCCCTTTCAATAGACACATGTTATAAGACCCAGAGAGGAAAGTTACATGTCCAAGATTAAGCAGACACTGGGTAGCATGGTTGGATGGCAAGCCTAGCAGACAATCTGAAGCTGATGCTTAGTTCCTAAGTTACTTTCTAAATAAATGACATGTACTTACATCCCATTTTTCATGATGTGTCATGATCTTTGCACATTTGTCTTATTGGTTTTAAGCCACACTTATGTACTAGAGAAGTCGAGCTTTTTGTCTAAGTGTTTCCAGTTTGCATTTTCTTTGATATATATATATATATATATAT